GGGGGCTCCACGGGGGTCCACATAAGCAGGGTCCACGTAAGAGAGTCCATGTAGGGGCTCCACGTAGGATGCAAGGAGGGCCATGATGCCAGGCTGCGCAAAAGGAAAGTTGTTGTGACTATCTACCTACGGAGCTAGGTCCAAGTAAGAGGGTCCACGTAAGTAGGGTCCATGTAAGAGTTTCCACATATGGGGGCGTCACGTATGTAAGCAGGGGCCATGTAAGGAAAGGCATGAAAGGCAAGGTCCACGTAAGAGGGTCCACGCAGTTCTCTTGAGGGCAGCCAAATGCCTCGGCACGCAACCAATACCTGCTTTCTAGTTCACAGCCAAGAGAAGATTCTGTTGAGCTTGACTCTAGTCCGAATTGGTGAAATGATTCAAGAAATGCCTTTCCGCATGTCTTTTCCGCATGTTTTAATGGCTGGGCGGCCCCAGCAGATCCTGCACGGAGGTACACTAAAATACCTGTTCGGCTATTTTAAAATCCGCATATTTTATTGTAGTAACCGTATTTCCACCTGAGGTTTTGACATATTTGTACTTTTGTTATTTTTTGTATTTTTTATATTTTGGGGGGAGGCTACTTTTTTCTCCTTTGGAGTTGCTCTCCTGATATCATATGTGCCTATTATTTAGCGTTGCAGATTTTTTCCATGGTCTCATCTGAGTTCAATAGTGTCATATTTCAATCAAACTGAGCCCAACCAACGACAATATTTCAAAAAAATCTGACCCAGTGCAGCTCAATAAATCCAATCCAATCAAATCCATCCCAATCAAGAGAGCCCAAAACCAATACGAAGGATATCGAAATCCAGTCAGTGCCATGCCATGTGTATTAATTAATGATGATCCAATGGTTTGATTTGATTGGAGCGTAGATTTTAAATCAGGGTTTCCTGGGTTTGATTAGAGTTTGTGGCGGCATCAAATTCTTGATTTGAATTCCTGTTTCTTAACCGTTTTTGGTCGTTTTTGTATATTGCTAGTGGCAGTGAACCAATTCTATCATCATTTAGCCGGTCTTGCCTTCATTGTTATTGACAAGCATTCACTTATAATACACTTGCCTTCATTCTTATTGGCAAGCGTTCAATTATAATACACTATCTAAAGTGAGTTCATGTTGTGTGTTCTTTTTGTATAGTTTGGTGTGGAACTAAAAAACTAAAAAGGACACCAAAATGACATCCCAAAAAGTTCATGCAATTATGAAATCACTTTTCTGATTTCCAAAAACATAACATTATGAATACATTAAATTATGAACCTATACTCTCTTAAACAGCAGGATATTACAAGCTAAAAGGCTTCATATATGCAACATGTTGTTTCTTTATATGTGCAGTGGAGAAATCTAATATAACATCATAAATTGAGTAGTTCTATTGAAATAAAGACGATGCCTTTTGATCAGCAATACATGTTTTTCTTTTTTGTTCATAAACATGTATGCATTCATAAGAATCATTGTATTGTTCTTGTAATCAACTATTGTTTATATTTGTGTATGAGTTCAGGCAGTTATGCATATTTCTGAACTCAGAGAACTTCAGAAAATTAATGAACGCATAAAAAGAAACATAATGAGTTCATAAATTTCATAATGAGTTTAGTGCATTCCCTTCTAAACTAAAAGGCAATATAGTTTATACTTTTATGAATTCAGAAAATTCATAAGATTCTGAGCTCAAGTTTGTTGGATTTATATGGTTTCATAAAATCACTATTTTACTTTCAAACAGTTTTAATCCAGAGGCTTCCTTGCTGTTGTCTAAAAATAGCTATCTTTACTGAAAAATACACACGCTCACAGCGCTCCCCTCTCAAACTTAACTAAAGAATACCATTAAAAAGCAAGTCATTCAACAGGTCTCTACACCTACCTGCTGTACCCTTCAGTACAGTATCGGAAGCTGTCCACTTGGTATCACTGTTCGCAGTGGTGTAAAGACGATGCTTCAGAGTAGTAGCATCCTAATGCAACAATGGGCATAGACATGGGTGTGTTGTGAGGAGCAGGAGGAGCTTATTGCAGAAGCAAAGGCGAATCTTGGCGAAGACGAGAAAGACAATTATTTTCTTTCTTGGTTACCTCTTTTGAGAATTGCTTTATTTATTTGTTTTTCAACTTGATGTTCAAATTCATTCACTAGATCTAAGATCTGGACGGACTGACACCCTTGCGCTGCATTTGTTCCCAAGGAAACAAGCAGAGGATCCAAGTGTAGCTTGGCGGTCTCAGCTTTTCAGACTGTATTGTCTCGGTTGCGGGATGGACATCTCTAGTAGATTGGAGCCCATCTCTATTAGGTTGGAGGCCATCGCTACTGGGTTGGAGGCCATCTCTATTAGGTTGGAAGCCATCTCTATTAGGTTGGAGGCCATCACTATTAGGTTGGAGGCCATCACTATTAGGTTGGAGGCCATCGCTACTACGTTGGAGGCCATCGCTACTGGGTTGGAGGCCATCGCTACTAGGTTGGAGGCCATCGCTACTAGGTTGGAGACCATCGCTACTAGGTTGGAGGCCATCTCTAGTAGATTGGAGCCCATCTCTATTAGGTTGGAGGCCATCGCTACTAGGTTGGAGGCCATTGCTATTGGGTTGGAGGCCATCTCTATTAGGTTGGAGGCCATCTCTATTAGGTTGGAGGCCATCACTATTATGTTGGAGGCCATCGCTACTAGGTTGGAGGCCATCGCTACTAGGTTGGAGGCCATCAAGGCCACCGCTAGTAGGTTGGAGGCCATTGCGACTGGGTTGGAGGCCATCACTATTACTATTAGGTTGGAGGCCATCGCTACTAGGTTGGAGGCCATCTCTACTAGGTTGGAGGCCATCGCTATTAGGTTGGAGGCCATCGCTACTAGGTTGGAGGGGAACCCATATTTTTTAGAATGTTTTTTCGCGTTCCTTTTGTGAATATTTTTCACCGTTGGTGGTTTGATAGCCTTCTGTTAGCTTGGGCTTTTGGTGGCTTTGGGCTTTTGGCGACTGTTGGCTTTGGGCTTTTGGCGACTGTTGGCTTTTGGCTTTTGGCGGCTTTTGGCTTTTGGTGGCTTTTGGCTTTTGGCGGCTTCTGGCTTTTGGCGGGTGTTGGCTTTTGGTGGCTTTGGCTTTTGGTGGCTTTTGGCTTTTGGCGGCTTCTGGCGTTTCGCAGGTGTTGACTTTTGGCTTTTGGCGGCTTGTGGTGGCTTTGGCTTTTCGTGGCTTTGTTTGCACAGCTGCCAGATGTAAGAAGGTATTGATTTTATCTAGATGATTGCAACTCACAGACGACCATGAGACATTGTGTTATTGGAATCCTTTCGGAGGGAGGTTTTCATATTGATCACTAGCTTCAGACAGCTGGCTAGCTGTTGGGCAACGTCATGCTGCATGTGTCGTTGGCACAAGATCGTTTGACTTATCGAACCACCTATCCAAAGTGATGTGAACCAGCCGACGCGAAAAAAGGCACGCTTTGTCCTTGCCCCTAGCTTCCTTGCTCCAGCTGTGATCCTCGCATTGTTTCATTCTTTCACGCGTGAGCTCTGAAGTGTAATCTGCACTTTGAAAATTGAGGTTCAAAACAGTGATGCGCCTACCACAAAACAGGTTTCTAGGTTCACAAAGTGCTGCACCTGCCACGAAGTGGTGCGCTTCCAGGTTCACAAAGTGCGCCTGCCACGAGGTCTGCACTTGAAGGTTCACGAAGTGCTGCACCTACCACGAAATCTGCACTTCGAGGTTCCGAAATGCTTCCTGCCACAAAATGAGCTACTGAAGGTACTCAAAATGCTATGCCTGCCACGGAAGCACTATGTGAAAGCGCTACCAGAAAAAGATCCCAAAAAGAGCGCGAAACAAATTCCTTTGAAACATCGTCAACCGTTGGAGGCCATCGCCACTAGGTTGGAAAACATTGCTACTAGGTTGGAGGCCATTGCTGTCAGGTTGGAGGCCATCGCTACTAGGAGGCCATCGCTAGGTCTCAGCTTTTCAGACTCTATTGTCTCGGCTGAGGGATGTTGCTAGTTCAGTTTTGATGAGTCTACGAGTCCATTTAATTGCCCCTACAGGTTGAGATTCCAGAGTTCCTGGACGGATTCCCCAAAGGACAGTGGAGCAAATGCAATTTTTGCAAGTGTTCAGGCTGTGCATACTGTACTTTATGTTTGGAAAAATGGCTCAATGGTTTCTTGATCGTAGATGTTCTGGCATTTTCTAACAGTTTCTGAATCAATTTGCTGAACCATGCTGGGAACCCGGTATCAAATGCATGCACTGCACTTTGCCAAGCCTTAGTCGTGTGCTACACTGCAGCATAGTACAAAGCAAATGTAACGCCCGATCAAGCAGGGCGCATGAACAAACATCCGGACTTTGATTTCCCAAGCTGATGGAGAAACCATGGGAACCAAGATAGCCAAAGCATAAAGAATATGTTGGGAAAGCATAAGGAGTGACTCTCGCCAGATTTCGTCGGAGGAGACATCTCTTGCTGGCTTTCTCATGAGAAAGTCTACTATGACACCAGGATGCATTAAGTGCGTAGCCAACTACCTGAATAATCTGAATATTCACTTGCATCCAGCATTTTAATATTCTGTCAATTGTGCTGCGCCGTTCCAACTCAGTGTGGCAACAAAGAGAAGTACGTGAAAGAGAGACGCCTCATCTATGACCCCAATGCAGCGGACTTGGTGCAAGTAGCACAGCGACAAGCCTGGTGAAAGCTTGTTTTGGAGGACGCAGATGATCTTCCATTCGTGTGCAGCCATGCCATGCCATGCCTAGCCAATATGGCACCAATTATACGACCTTAGCTGAACGTTGCCAATGTTTTGTTTTTTTTGCAGTTCCTGTGTCTGAGGCGGCTGAAACGAGGGACTATCAGATCACCTACAAGGAGTTTAAAGCTGCAAGATGCCCAGAATGCCCAGGGTCTCCACTTCACAAGTTCTTGGGATGAGTGGATGGTGGAGGCCGCTCTTAGTGTTTTCTTATTGCTCTTAGGCCTTCAAGGCTGTTATCACTTGATCGCCAAGACTCGACCAGGCGCCAGTGGCTTGGCTTAACCCGGATCAAACGAGCCGGACGGACATTTGTCTTGAGCCGGACGCAGCACTTGTCAGCCATTTGTCAGCCATTTGCCAAGGAAAACTGGTCAGCAGAAGGTTTGATTGTCACCTGAAATCGAGGATTACTGTCTTGCCTCGAGTCTTGATTGGTCTAGTTGCCGAGAAAAATTCATGGCTCCTTGACCCACTACTCAAACTTTGCCAAGTTGGCAGAGTCGCCCAGGTAAAGACTTACACTATGCGTAATGAACGTTACATGAACAATTTTGCTCATTTAGATGTCCAAAATGTTCGCTTGCATTACAGATTCTCACCTTTCGACTTTGGGCGACCCTGCCATTTGTTGGGGTTGTTTGAGACCCCTGACACAGCTTTGGCAGTGAACGCAGTGGACATGCTTTGGCAGAATCCCAGGGAAGGTCATCAGGATCATTGCTGACTCAGACTCGAGCCAAAGGCATTGCCCTGTCGAAGTACTGGCAGTTTCAGCTGGCCAATGCTGCCTGGATGTCATTGGAGCTTGACACAACACGGAACGTGCTGTGTCAAAGGGCTACTAACCCCTCGCAAAGTCTTTCATGAACATCTTGGCGAATGAAGGAGCAAGCTGCTGGAAACTTAACAGGATTGCTTCTCCAAGCAGCTGACCAATTGCAACAGATTGCAGACCAATTGCGTGTTCTATTGCATCTTGCTGCGGCATTTTCATCCATAATTAGACGTCAATCCGACTCATCTCAGCTCATCGGCGGCGTTCCAAAGGGCGCCGAAGAGGCAGATTCTGAAGAGACACTGGAAGCACTGGAAGCCACTTCAACATCATCCGAAACACAGAAGGAAGAGAAAGGATAGACCCTTCTTTTGTTCTTGCTTTCTTCAACAATCTTTCTTTCTTCCGATTTGCACCAGCGCTATGCAGCCATGGCTCATCTCTGTGGTCCTTGTAACGATACTCACGATGACTCTGTTGTTCCTCCTGAGCTTCGACTCCTTAGAGCCGCATGGCGAAAACGCTTCGCTTGAAGCGATTTGTCCAACCGTGCCAACCAGCCTTCCGCATTGTGCCCCAAGGTACCAAGAGTTTGGCCTCAACTGCAATTATCTTAGTGAGAGTGTGGAGAAGGCATACGGATCCCAGTTTCAATAGCCCATGAAGAAGCATACAGCATAATAGAGTACAAACCCAATGGTCGTCTTAGTTGCTGACTTGATTTGCTCTACAAACTTTCAGTTCACGTAGGTGCACACCAATCAGCAATCGCTTTCCACTCCATTTCAGTGCCAGGAGCCCTACAGTGCCGGCAGTGGCTCAAAGAAATTGGTAGTTTGCAATTCAAACAACCTGTCAATCAAGTGTGGGTGCTTGACTCTGTGGCCGTTGTGTTGTGGAGATGGCTAAGGATACTACTTGGGCATCGCCAATAGCTTTATCAAATTTCCACGGACTGTCACTTTGAAGCAGAGACTCTTCGAAGTTTGGTCGGGGCTCGGCGAGATGAGGTGAAGTCCATCTCCTTTATCGAGGATTGGACGGAAGGCCGGCAAGGTCCTGCGCTGCAAAGCTGGACCAAAGACGGTTTGACGGTTCACCTAGTCGCTCGGACTTCGACCGTAGCTAAGCGCAACCTAAACCACCTAAAATGGTGGAACTTAGGTAAGAAATAGTATACATATAGAGAGAATTAAACAGCAAGAAAGCAGATTCGTAGCTTGAGGGTTGTACTGGTACGATTTGATGTTACGGCTTGGTGAGATGGTACAGCGCGGAGTCTGTCATCCCTTTCGTTTGCCGCTTCGTCAGCTCAGGAGGTCTCATTTCAGTACCAGCTGAAGTTCGACCAGCTTTACACCCTGCCATGTACTTTTGAGACTCCTGGGAATTTATGAGATGAAATGCGAAGCGTGCTGAGGTGGTCTACCTTGGGTGAAGACTATGAGAAAACCTTCGTGCGGATGGCAATTGAGCAACTCTCCACTTCCACCACGCACCACAATGCCCATTTCTTCTTCAGGCAATTGCCACCACGCACCATGCAAGTTTGTTCCTCAAGACGGATCTAGAATGTTCAAAAGACATATCAGCAAACAACAATAAAACGGGCTGACATGCGTTCAACATGTTGCTTTGGATATTTTTTTAAATAGGCATTTCCACCTTGGGCAGGAACCGGACATTTGTCAGCATGGAGATGCATCGCAAGCTGGACGAATCTTGGATTTCAATGTTGGTTGAAGGATGTTACTTAAATTTTCAAAGAGTTTGTTTCTGGTGTGGGGGGTGTAGGCCGTAGTTAGCTGAAGTACCTAGTAGTAAGAGGTGAGTAGTGGCTCAAGTAACTGTTCAAGCTTCTTCAATTAAGCTCCCCCCCCCGCCTGAGGGCGGGGAGAGCTTCCGTGAAGAACCCTCGCATGATTGATTTGGTTGTAGTTCTTTTCTTGGAAACGTAGCATTCCAAGGGGCATTTTCGTCAACATGCCTTTGCCGAGGCGGGAAGTGCTTTGCTCATTTGCATGACTAGAAGCACATCCGGCTTTGCAAAAGGGTTTCTTGTCAGGCAAACAAGAAATCCGCTGAATTCTTGTGAGTCAATCTTCAGGTACCTTTCTTCCAGCTGCGGACAGTCCACTTGCCTGATGCCTTCGAGGATGCCATCCGGGAGACGCAGGCGGAGATAGTTTTAATTCAAATTTCAGGATACAGATGATACACGCATTGTGAAGTCCCTCACGCATGTCTCTCAAGTGTATCCGTATGGCTTTTAAGGTACAAGAACAACACATTCAAATCGCACGATTGGAGCAGGAGACAAAGAAGGCCAAGTTTGATCACAGACGAAAAGAGTATGAAGAGCATGTGTTTGAGTAGCTTCACATAGAATCGCAACACCGCAGGTGTAAACACGATGTCAACACAATAGCTACCATTCGGTTTCAAAGGGCCTTGTGTTTGCAATGCCAAATTCCCGCAACTGACACTCGCTCTTCAGAATTTCTTTGGAATTGACTCGAACCCGAACAGTAGTGGGGATTGAAGCAACGGATCGTTGCTTCAGGTCACTTTCGCAACGGAGGTTCTGAAAGCCAAGCAGGCCGTTTGTGGCCGATTTTGTTCAATTGAACCTGTCAATTGCATAGGCCAAACAAACACAGCAAACCCCAAAACATCCAGCCAATCAACAGACACTGCGCAGAGAATATCAAGCACTTCCAGCACAAGTTGTGACCCGCAAACTGGTGTGATGCTGCAGGCAGTCCAGAAGCTTCAGAACGAGGTGACAAACCAATCTTCTGTATCCAAAGACTCGAGTTGCGTTGACTGCAGGCAGATGGAGAGGCAGAGGCTATTCTGAAGAAAAATGATGCATATTGTCCCTCGATTGCCACTCCACACTCATTCACATGATGTCATTGTCATGTTGACTTAACTTGACAGTCCCCTTTAGACTTCAAGTAAAAATAAATGTTCATAAGCCGCCACAGTGAGGCGAACAATACAAGCTCACCCAGCAGTTGCAAGTTGATGGGTTGGAGCACCTTGGCACAACACATCGACGTGCGTGAAAGAACGCGAGCGTTGAGGTTTGGCAAGCCTTGATCTCTCAGCTTGCAAGGTCAGTGGTTGCCAAGACCTCTTGGGGCGACAGTGAACTCTTGAACTACTTGAGTATCAGCTGCTGAGATGCACAAGATTTCATTCTGGCATCTAAACTTCTAAACCAATAGATTCGTGAAACACTCACCACGTACAATACATAATACATGTTGTTGAGACCGCAGACTAAGCTTCAGCCTGAGCATGTTGCTCAAACTGAACGCTACTGAAGGCACATATTTCGCCGATAGAACCGACGTCCTTCCTGTTCAAACCTACAACTCTACGCCCCCCCTCATGGGTGTGGCTGTGTGCTCTGGCTCCTAACTGAACCGAGGAGCTGTTCGAGAGCATCCCTCTTCAAATACAATGATTAGCCTTTGAGTCGCTGACGCTTCACCGTGTTTTGCAGAGGCTTTTAATTGGTAGAAAAGAACAAAGAAAGGATGAAATAGAATGAACAGAGGTTGGACAGAGACACCATTTGGGACACCTTGTCCACTTTTAGTGCAAAGATAGTGCCTCAAAGCCCAGAAAGCACATCGAATGTTGACCTGGCCATAGGGGCTGGCGCTCAAAGAAGCGTGCTACTCACAAAGTAGAAAACGGTGTGTATAATATATGCTTCTGAAGAACCGTTTTGTTACGAATCCAAGGTTTATTTATTGACGTCCAACGAAGCTGGCATAATTCAGGCGGCATCAGTTTTGGCCGAACTCATGAACTTTTAAATACACACTGGGATAAATGTCAATAGGGATGAGGTCCCAGTATAGTTGCTATATAGGTACATGCCATATACTTTTGGCTCAAGTGCCCAACCAGGTAAAAAGGAGCTTTAGCGCGCGAGCTTCATGTTGAACTAAGGGCTAGAACGGGGCCAGGGCACACCTTTTCATCCGTTCGCAGGTTATCAGCCGTATCCAGACTCTCTTGAGCTGGATACGAGCTGCGGCCTTACACAACACCATCTAAACGCACACGCATCGGATAGATCGGTCACCCTCAGTCACTGAGGATGGAACAATCCGACGCCAGCACTGCATCCTTTGGAGCAGCTGCTGCGGCCGCAGATCGGATGAGTGCATCCCACAACTCTAGTCCGGGTACGATCGAGGCAGAGACCCTGACAGTGGTGAGAGAAGGTGCGACAGGTAGAGCACGAAGTCGTTCCCCGTCAGCGCATTCGACACCACCGGGAGGGACACCAAGATCAGGCCGTAGCCCTAGGGAGACGAGGAGGAGGACTGACACCGGAGCTGTGAGAGTGCTAGCATTGGAGGATGGGTCAACTGTACCAGTGCCGTCGGACAGCGAAGCTGGAGATGGAGCAAGGGCAAGCACCGACAACCTACAACTAGCACGGGCCGATGGAGACCTGAATGCGAAGTGTGCGCAACTACTTGCCGAAGTGCATATGTTGAACCACCAAAACGCATGGATGGTCGAATGTGAGCAGAGACAGAACCAGATTATACAACACGAGACCGAAGTCCACGAAGTAGTGATGGCACACCTCGAGGAATGTTATGTCGAAGGATATGGGAATCAACGAAGAATCTCCCAACTTACAGAGTCCAGAGACTGTTTGCTCTCGGCAGCACACGATTTGCAATACCAGATTGACACTGATCGTGTGGCGATG